ATCTTTTAATATTTTTAGTTGCATTATCATTTCATTCATGATATTTGGGTAATTGTTAATACCAAAATAATAATAATAATAATAATACTTGGGTAATTAGATCAAACTTATCATAATTTCTTCTTCTTTCTCTATAAATTAGGGAGTATTAATTAATGGAACGAGTTATCAATAGGAAAATTAATTAAGGATGATAAGTATAATATTTAAAAATAATAATAATAAATAAAACAAACGGGTCAACTCGTCAACCCACGGGTTGACCCTAACCCGACCCGTGACCCGTACGGGTTGATAATACGGGTTATCTACGAGTTACGAGTTGAGATATGTAGATCCTAACCCGTTTTTTAAGGGTAGGGTTAAAGTCGGGTTGACGGGTCGGGTGGATTTTTACCAAGTCTAATAATTAGTAAACCATTCTTCTCGACTAAGTTAACAATTGAAGAAAAAGTAGAAGTAACACAAAAAGTAAAGCCGCCGTTTGAGTTTATTTCGACACATTGACTAACCATAGAGGACACCAAGCCACCAAAGATGGGCTACAGCTGTACCTCCCACAAATTCCACAAACTTATAATTACTCCCAAACTCCAATATAATTGTTGGAAAATTAATAATTTTTTTTTTGTCATATATACCTATATTTAACAACTTAAGAGCTAGCAGTTATCGGTTGCCTCCCAAACTCCAAAACAAAAGGCCTGTAATTCTAATAAAAAGATGATTGTAATGAGTGATCGCGCGGTTGAACGGCTGTGATTTTGCATTGTAACAAAGCGTAGATACCTGCTTACAAGTATCTTGGTCGGTCCAATAAAAGCTGCTAACATAGTAGGAACATGTGAAGATTGCCGTTTAAATGAAGAAAAGATATCATTAAAAAGAAATGAAGAAAAAGATTCTAAAGAGTGACAGCCGTGCTTTTAAGATATATAATAAAAATATATATAAAATTAATAGTAATTTTATATTAATATTAACTAAATAAATTTAATTAAATAATTAATAAATTAAAATTTAATTTTTACATTTTTTAATATAAAATTTTAAAAAAATATATTTATTACATTATAAAAACACGTATTAAAAAAGTTTTAAAAAGAAAAACGAAAAAGGATTCTAACGAGCGCCGGTCCGTTCAACAGCTGTGATTTTGCATTGCAAATGACGCGTGGTTACTTAACGTCCAATTTCAGTTTCTTTTAATTTGTAGGCGTGTTTCCCTTCGCAAAAATTCCACGCGGACTCTTGTTATTACTCCAAATAAAAATTTCAAATAATATTTATATTCATTTATAATTTTTTAAAAATTCAATATATCACAAATCTCTAAG